ACACACACACACACACACACACACACACACACACCGCGTGAGTATGGACAGAGAAAAAAAATCGATATACTACCATTGCGTGACTAATTATTATTGTTATTGTTCTTACCGCTCTTACGGGCTTACATATAAAATCGTATTGGATACATTTCAAGACACAAATTCTCGTTCAAATACAACACGCCAAAACAAAAATTCTACAACAAACGTTCGAAAAACATCGCTAACGTAAAACATACACACATTGAAATTGTATCCAAGTGAGCGAGCGAAAGAGAAAAAGAAGAAGACGAAAATAAAATAATGGAATGTGTGGTGTGTTCAGACGTAGCTGTCGCTCAACATGTTACATTCAACTACTCTAGGCACATTTCATGTAAATATGAGAAGAGGGTGAAAAAAAGAAGAAGAAGAAAAACGACAAATGTGAAAAGTACTATGACAAAAAGTCCAATCATATTTTACCTTTCCGGATCGTGCTCCTTTTTCTTCATATTCGTACATACTAATTTCATGTTGCCATTGCGATTTTTTTTCTCTCCACATGTCACTTCATCTTTTATTTGTAACAACATTTGTTCTCAATTCGAAAATTGAAGTATAACTCAATGTAAATAAAAGGAAATTACTGCTTGGTAACAGTAATGCCGTACTGAGAGAAAGAGAAAATAAAAACATACACAAAGATGTTTTGAAATTGTGTAATTTTTTTTTTGTGCGCAGCTGTCACAAACAACCGACCAAAATGTCTAATGCTTTATATGAAAATGTTGGGCTCAATATTAACAAGAACATCACCGAGGTCACACAACCGGTAGTTAATGGTTAAAAGCGTTGAAACTGTTATATACATAGCTCATGTATAATATATTACGCACATATGCCCAACAATACCTCTTGGCCTCAATCAGAAGGGGGATTGAATATGTATTCATTTATACATTTGAAAATGTCGATGATAATATCCGGCTTTGATTTGTGTTTATATTAAATTATTTGCCGATTTATTGACAACAACAAATTATCTCAATGGGTCACAGTCCATAAAACATTTAATACCATTGTTTGGTTTGATTGAAATCGAAAAGCTCCATCACAGCACATTGTATTCGAAGACCGGAGTTTCGAAGACGATAATTAACTGAAAATGTATGATTTTGTTTTTACATAATCAAGCGTTCAGAAAGACATACATTTATGCGAGCAATTGAATGATGCTTGCATCATTTGATGCGCATCGCTAGTGCTTTCGTTGTGAGTTCGGAGCATTTCGTGCGCTATCGAAGATCCGAATGTATGGCGACAGCCTAGGGGTTTTCATGTAAGATTTTGTTTCACGAATTCGACGAATAATTAACAGTATAACAAATAATACAAATTTTTACAAATCATGCAAATCTTTACCGATTTCACTATTTTGTGCCAAAAATCCACCGATATTCGCCGATATGCGAAGTGTCTTTGTTCTGGAAGTGGGCTTTGGTGGATCCTCAGGATCGTTCAGAACCGCTCCCAGGTCTGGAAGTGGACCCTCAGGATGGGTCAGGGCATTGTCAAACCATGGTCTGGTCGATCCAGAGGATCCACCAAAACCCACTTCCAGAACTGGGAGCGGTTCTGATGATCCTGTGGATCCACCAAAACCCACTTCCAGAACAATTAAGTATCAAAAAATATCCGAATATTAACGATATTTTACAGATATGCCGATATTTCACCGATATGCCAATACGCAACGATAATACGCAAATATTATCCAATAAAAATACATGCAAACCCCTAGGCGACAGCACAATCGATGCGCATCAAATGATGCAAGCATCATTCAATTGCTCGCATAAATGTATGTCTTTCTGAACGCTTGTACATAATTATAATTAATATATCTCCGGAATAAATAAGGGCCCATTAAATTCAATTGCAGCTGAGGTTTACTTTCTTATGTACAGAAGAGAAATTGAATTCGATTCTCCAAAGAGATATTTTGTTGAGTCGATTTAATATTTACGGTTTGCTTATTTCGGATTGGAGATTTTCATCGCTTGTGTGGCAGACGATATTGCATTTACTACAGATTTGGTGTTTTTGCTTGTTTTTTTTTCTCGATGATTTCCTTTGATGCAATCGCCATTTTAAGTGTGGTATTGATTCTATTTGCTGCATTCCAATGGATTTCTGTATCGTTTGCAGTATTAACACAGATTGGTATCTTCGAGTATTATGCAATTAAATTTGTTAAGGTTTCTCGTAATTTCCAATTTAATATGAATTGGGATACGTGTGCACATTGAAAATGCATAAGTACATATACTTGAAGTGCCTTCTTTCATTTAAATACGTAGATTTGTGTATCGTTGCGCACACCACACACTATATCAGCACATTCAATGGTTTGTGTATGGTTTCTTTGTTTTCTTATCGCACATCTTGATGATTTACGTGCACGGTTCTGGAGATTTTCGATATGCGAAAACAACTTGCATGCTTTCTTCGATTTTAAGCACTTAAATTCAATTATCAATTGATTATATGTGTACTCAGGGTAAGCGATAAGTGCATATACTCGAGAAATTCCCAGGTATATACATAAATCTACACATCTAAGTATCGGTGTTGGTTTTTGAGGCTTTCGTCTAAATCTTGAAGGTATTATACGATATTAATTTCGATTAATATGGATGCGCATACAAGACTCTCAACACGTATTACTTAGATGACAGATTTCTCTAGTTGTGAATCGTCTAGAATTCATATGACTGTAGACCCCCTGTGTTTGCGTTTATCTCTCTTCTGCGTTAGGTTATATATATACAGGGTGTCTCACGAACTAGGCGCACCCCCTAAATTTAAAAATTAAAAAAACGCTTTGGGGGGTATGTTAGGGGTAAAAAATAGAAAATTTCTATCGGAGCAGAATTTTGAATTTTTCCCCAGGGGGGTTGGGGGTGCCCCCAATTTTACAAAACTTCATCTGATCAAAAAATAATGTACTACAAAGTTGTTCAAAATGACGAGAGACATTTTTTAGGACCCCTGCCCTCCAAGTCCCCCCACCCTTTAAGGGGGTCGGGGGGTCAAAAACCCCCAAGATGTGATTTTTTTGACCTGAAACCCAAAAATTCGGAATCAGCATGAAAAATTACCTTAGAATCGATATTTTTCTCATTCACGTTTTTTCACAAATTTTTGACCAAAAAAGTGTAAAATCGACTCCTCAAATCTTACAAAGTCGATCCGATAGAAATGTTCTATTTTTTACCCCCAACATACCCCCCAAAGCGTTTTTTAAAATTTTTAAATTTAGGGGGTGCGCCTAGTTCGTGAGACACCCTGTATATATATATATATATAAAAAGTTCAATTTTTCTTCCAAACGATTCATATCTTCCTCAAGAGATCGTTCGTTGTAAATATTTGTGGTTTGATGCTGTTCAGAAATGCGATTTCTCAAGTATTTTCAGTTTTCCATTTCATTGCTTAATGCATTCGGAATATGAACCGTACAAAGTGCACCATACACAGAATAGAAGGCACTTGAACATGAAAATTTAATCATGCAAGATGCTCGATAATGTTGAGATGATGTAACACAACAATAGAACCATCTAATTAAATTGCACATGTGTTATACCCAGTGTTGGGTAAAGATATTAGATAAGATGAGATACCAGATAAGATGCCAGATAAGATGATATCTTATATCTTATCTTATCTTTTGACGAATATATCTCATCTTATCTAGATAACTAAGTTTTCTTTCAATATCTTGGTGGTATCTTTAGATCTTTTTAAGATATTTTGAGATTTTTACGAAAAAATTCAAAAAAAATTGGAAAATATATCTTTATCTGCTTATAAAATTATTTATATGAAAAGATAATGAAATTATCTAGATACTTTTGAATATCTAGATACTTAGAGTTATCTAGATACTTTTGAGTATCTTAAGTCCAAAAATTTTGTGATTTTTTCTGCGTAAAAATATCTTTGAGAGTATCTAAGATACACCCAAGATATTATCTTATCTTTGCGTTTTTTTAAGATAAGATATGGTATCTTACCTAGATAAATTTTTTGCAAAACTAAAAAAATCTCATCTTATCTAGATACCAAAAATTTTACAATTACCCAACACTGGTTATACCGTCGACACTAACGAGTTTCAACAAACCATTTGGCTTTGTTCAATTTCGAATTTTGTGTGCGTGCGGTTTGAATGCGTATAATTTTGTACATTGGTTTTCACCGATGAAGTTAGTTTCCTACATCCCAACGACGTCGCATCGACAAAGACATTTGTCACATCAACTCTGTTTGAATAATGAACAAGAGTAGGTGTTCAATTAAAATACGATTCACTGAACATTCCACCGTCGGATGGTCATCAAAGATACATATCTCATTAAATACGATTCATTGAACTCTATGCCAATGCACTGCAAATACCAATTTTTACGGCAATGCATTGATTAGGTTCGGTATGAGCGCACTCATTCGATGGCATTTTTCCCATTGATGATATCAGAAGAAGGGAACTTACCGTCAGGCTAAAAATACATTTTTAATTTTCATTGACTATGAGAAGCTATGAATTTCGTTGATGTAACACAGTCGATGGTGTAGGCGGATGTGTAAGTAGAAAGCATCATTGATAATAATGAAATCAATGAAATATAAAATCAAAACGTCGCCCACACACATTCACACTCTTCAACACTCAAACGTACGCAATGTAAATCATTGAAAGTAATTTCATGGTTTCCTTTATTTATTATGTGATTTTTGTTGAGAATCCAGTTTGTTCTTTCGAGTGTGAAAAAATGGGTTTATTTTTAGCTCAGAAATAAAGAGAAGTAACAACAATCCAAATGAGCACAGTTCACAGAAAAAAAATGCCAACTTAATAGCGGTATTTTTCAGCTTATTTTTCTCATCCATTATTATGATAAGTATCAATAATAATGCAAATATTTTAATCCGTTTTTTATTTGTATTTTCAGGAGGTCCTGTGCTCGTATGGATAATGATGTTTGTTGTCTGTTAATCGCGAATAAATATTGTGTGTGTTTTTTTAAATGGCTGAATGCGTGATCGAAAGTCATATAAAAACCCGTCGTGCATATATACGTGACGAATTGAAAAATGTCAATAACAAGAAAATTGCAGAGAGGAATAAAAATTCAACAGGTCATGAATCAAACATGAAATATGATAAAAACCATGCAAATTGAATTTGTGTCTCTGTGTGGCAAATAGAAAAAAAAGCGAAGCGAAGAAGAAGAAGAAGAATAGTACGAGATTCATCAAATCAGTATATAAATGAATAATTGATTTGTGCGCAAATTAAATGTTGAAATGCAAAATCAGATGACTGAACTAATGATAGAATGAGGGGGATAAGATCATGGATGGCTGCACGAAATGCTTTTGTGCATTTTCAACGGTAGCTTACAATCACACAATTCTCCAATTAGTTGCACCGTGAATGTATTAAGGTTGAACCATAACGAAGAAATAATCGGCTTCGTTTGCATTGCATGCCTTAAACATATCAATCAGTGAGTGAAATTAGTGTATAATCAATAGTGTTCATGTGCTATATTCACTCGCTTCCCCCCGCCCCCTTCAATAGGAAACATAATACAAACACATCGAGAAAATATTCAGTGTGAGATGCAATTGAGAATGTCATTTATACATTCAATGCATCTAGACCATTCAGAATCATTCAATCACACAAATTATAAACGAAGCGTACAAATGTGGTACAACATTGAATGAAAAACAGTGTGTGAAAGTGGTGGTGCAAGAATAAATCAAGTGATCAAATTGAATTTTTTTTAATCACTTAAGCATGTGGATTGGCCACTGTCTTAGCTGTCGATAAAACTGCAGCCGCCGTAAAGTTTTCACCGGCCATAAATCACATTTTAAACCAACGACACAGAGAAACGGAAACAGGTTACAACCCGGAAATAGAGCGCACATTTAATACGAATAACACATCGATATGGATACGTTCACTTCATTGATTGTCATCGCTTTATTTAGCTTTGTCACACAAATCACATTGACTATGGCAAACGGATATAAAATGGGTAAGTGACCATTTTTGACTAACCATACCATCTCCAAATTTTTATCCACTTATTTAATTAAAAGAATTTCAATTTTTATATAAATCGATGTTGCCCCGATTTGATTGCAAAAGAAATTTAATATAATTTAATTAAGTGCTGTGTGTTAACTTGACGACAATCCAAAATCGAGGCAATAAATTTTGCATGACATTCTTCCATTTTGGGTCGATATTGAAATTTTATTTTTAAAAAAATCCCTTTTAATATTGTCGAATAGTTTTACTTGCGCTCAATCGCTAACTTTTCCATCGAATAGTTCGAATGCGCCGTTTTCAATATCGAACATAATGCTCGATCAAGCCAATTTAAATAATATTCAAAAAAACTTATATTTCAAAGTTGTTCGAGTATTTAATGAATTTTCCAATGTACAAAATTATATATCGTTGAAAGTATTTTATGAAAATTGCTTCATAATCTTGCCATTAATTTCGAATATAATGAGTTAAAAACGTGTTCTCGGTATGCTGATTACATGAAAATCGAACGCTATTTTGGCTTATGTTATATCATCAATGACAAATCGGTTGCCTTCGTTGCTGTCACTGTCATCGTCGCCATCGAACACGAACGAAACTTTTTGATGCGACAATTTTCCAACAAAACTTTGCCCCATTGTCAATGATCCAATAAAATTCTGCACTGATTCGAATTTTGAACATAATAAATATAGTAGATATAGGTGTATGATACAAAAAAAGTACTCGAAGTGTATGATAGTGAATGCAATAAAAATGTGTTCCAGAAAAAAAACTTTTCTATGCTAACTGTCAATCACAAAAACTTTCAGACACTGTTTAAACGCTATGAAGTCATTCTTGAATTACATCTTTTTTCACTTCTTTTTCAATATATTTCTCTGCTTTTTATACGGAATAATGCCTATTTAGACAAAGTAAATGACATCACATTCGCTGTGCTTGGCAATTTTCCATTCAATACAACCATCATAAATTACAGTAAATAAAATCAAAATAAAGAAAAAACTTTCACCAAACTTTGTTTTGTCAATATATTAGCAAAATATTTACACGATAAAGTTCAAGATATTTGTACGAAACATTTGAAAAGTATAGCAAAGAGATTGACCAACTTTTATCGTTCAATCAAAGTGAAAATTGTATCGGAAAATTTCGGAAATTCGAGTTATACAAGAGCGAACACATTTTTTTTTATTTTATGACGCAATGATGCTTATGCAATAATGAGCTTTATATCTTGTCTGTAATTAACTGGAAACAGTTTGAATTATTGTATAAGACAAAAAGCTCATTTTCAAGTCTTTTGATGTATTTAAAGCGGATTTGGCTTTTTTTCCTATACATTTTGTGTCCCATATCCATTGTATGGAGGTGAAACACCATGTTATAAAAATAATGCAAACAAATTTGCAAAGAGCATTAACATACTTGCCATGTATTTAAAATATGTTTCATGAACTTTTCTCGCTTTCTCATTTGTCCATTTGAGCTTTTTAAAATGTTAAATATAAAAAATACACACAATGGAAATGGTCCAATACATTCAAATGCATACAATGATTTTTAGATAGGATAGATGCGAAAGATCTCCGCAAGATCCAGATCCAAGCGTGCGTACGCTGCCGCATGATGCATACATATATAATACGCACGCAAATTCATTATTCTTATTTCCCCTTCTTTGATTCGCATGCCATAGCATTACGGAGTAAGGAATGTATGTATCATGCGGCTACGTACGCACGCTTGGATCCGGATCTTGCGGAGATCTTACGGATCTATTCTATCCAAAAATCATTGTATGTTCAAATGGGATTGAATAATTTAACACCAACAAGCATTAATTAAAACACACATTCAGAATCGGGGAAGGTGGAGAAATGATTTTTTTTTAGCGTATTGAGTGACAATTTTCAGAGATTGTATTTTTTTTATTTAAACATCAATCGATATTCACTTTGGCGAAATACATGCCATTTTATGGATGGGAATTTATCGTGAATTTTTTTTTACCGCTAATTAATTCAGTAGTATGGGAAGGCTGAGGGCATCCCACCCCTAGCATCCGAAATTTTCATTTATTATTCACTGGATCAAAATGAAAACTTTAACATTTAAGTGGTATTTTCTGTGCATCATTTCTGAAAGCGCCGCTCCCCTGCGAATCTGATCTCGCACTTTACTGATTTAAATGTACTGCGAATCTCATAATCATATTACATTCATATTAACACTTGCGTAATATCAATAAGCCGAGCGAGTCACATTCATCAAATAAATTGGCAAAAGATTTAAAATAAACTCAGTACTTACAATATGACAATATTTTACTTGAATTTATAAAAAAAGCACGAGCAATGCAATACTTTCATTAAAATATTTGAAATTATTGTGCCCCATTGCCAAACATTAAAAAAGAGTCTTTTGTGCCCTTTTAATTTGTGAACGATATTTGAATGCACACAGAAATGTTTCATGAAATGTCAAAACATTGTGAAAAACCAATAACAGTCAATACATATTTTTCCATCAAATAAATTTCAAGTGTGACAGATACAAAGAATAAAAAAAGCTTATGCATTTGCGAATCAATAAAAATTGTAGTTTCAATCCACATAGCCAATGTCAGTTATACTATCCATATTGACAACACATGTTCCATACATTTTTTTCCTCTGCTATTTTCAATCCAATCGAAACTTTTATTCTGATGATCAAAAATGCTTTTATTCCGTCGCTTGTTTTTGTTTCGATGCTTGTTCGCTGTTGATGGCATGTGTTTTGTTATCAACTAAACATTTTTTTTGTTCATATTTCCTATGTGGTTATATTTTCATTTCGCTGCATTTTTTTACAGAAAAATATATGGTATAGCGTCGAAAACAACTATTTGAATTTTGTTTGTTTGAATTGACAAAAAAAAAAACATAATTTAATATTCTGTCAAAATATATCAGATGACCTGAATCATTTGTCTTTCTCTATTGGAACGGGAGACAGAGATAGAGAGCGCGCGTGTGTGTATGTGATGAATTGGGAATTATTTTTGTTTATTGTGTACAGCACGTAAGCGCATCCAGAATGTGATGTATTGTTTGTTGTTGGTTTTATTGCAATTCGCTTTGGGACTAATAAATTGAGCTCTATCATATTAAAATGTGGGCGGATCACAATGAAAACCCAACACTACTCATTACAATGAATCGTTTGCGAGAAAATTGTATGCGGTTGATGAGAGAAAACATGTACGTGTACAGTGTACACACAACACATAGTTGCATATAGAAGCACCATGAAAAAGCGAACAAATATTTTGTAAAATAGTAATGCACTTGTTTTGCCTAAAAAACTATATTTTTTTTTCATTCATGGTGGTGCAGGCAGCAGTGTTTCAATGCATTCCAGGTGTAAATTTTCATATATAAATGGTTGCCACAATGGTTAGCTGAGTCATCAAATTATGCACCTGTTTCAAAAGCACCCGAAAATTTCATTTAAACTTTTTTGTCCGCATGTGTGAATATTCACAATGTGATTTCAGCGAATACACGAACGTAAAATTCGTTAGAGAGAGAAAGAGCGGTAGAGAAGAAATGGGAATAAAATCGCATTATTAAATTTATGTGGGTCATTCAAGGTACATAATTGAAAACTCATTAAAAATTAATTAAAATATATGCAAATGAGTTGCACGTAAACTTTACCGAGAAAGTTCGTTTGAAAAACGCCAAATACACACACACGCGCACACGCACACAACACATAGTACAATTTCAATGGTTGTTGGTTGATACAGTTAAATTAAAAGTGTCCATTTTACGAAATCACCATGGACACGCACTACACTATATAATTTATTTACGGTATTTGCACTTGTGCCTTACGTTTATTTATTATTCATTTCGTTTTTTGACATCAACATTTCGTTGGAATATTTTGAAATAAAAACACGACAAGTTCGAAATGCTGATATTTAATCTGTCAGACGAATGAAATGGTAAATTTCGTTTTTCTCTGTGATATAGTCAAGTCGTTTGTTTGATAAGTGTACACATCATTCAGAGTATGTTCACAAAATTGATATCATTGTAAACATTATTTATTATTTTGGCTTTTAATTTTAAAAGTTATGAAATATGTTTCTCGGCGATTTCACATAAACGAAAATTGAAAATCATGTTATTTTTAATCAAGCGTCTTTGTTTTCAATTTCTACTCTCAGGGTTGTTAAATATTTTTTATTGAGAATTTATTCACTTCAGAACTTATAATTTCGAAAAAAACTTTTCGATTTTTATATTATTAATTATACCATTGCCTTGGTTATTCATATTTGCGAAATGTTTTCATAAAATTAAGACAAAATGTTTGATAAAATCCAGTTTGTCGTAAACAAATTGATCAAAAAACCGTTGATACAAAAACTCAATCAAATTCACGCCGTTTCACGATTGGCTGGATGTCCGATATTGTTCGCATATAATGTAGTTGCATAAAAGCAGCGGCCATTTTATAGCAACACAGATTCATTTTACCCGAGAGAGACCGTGGTTTTGAATATTTAAGCTGTAATTTATCATCACAATTTCCCACAACCACTCTCTGTCGCTTGTCCAAAAATTCCAATGCATAAATTGAACAAGAACGCATTAAATTGCATTATCCATATGAATTAATCACATAAATGCGATGCTATATGTGATAGAAAATTTTCATACGGTGTAACATGTATATGTGCCATTGTCATGGGACTCATAAAATTCAACTATAAATTCAAAATATACGGCTTTGAAACGACTCGCTTGAAAAAAATGGCCATATGTCCCATTGGAACAAGCGTTTTGCATTTGTATATTATATGTGTCTATATTTCAACCGGATTCATTATATTGCAGCGTAAAACACTTTTGTGTGTCTATGTGCTTCGTGAAATCTCTAATTATGTTTTGTAGACGCGATTGAATCGCAGATGAGCTATCGACTTCGCTCATAAAAATGCAATCTATTTCATTGAGATATTCGATTTTGTAAAAGTTACGATACAAAATAAGCGCGGATATTATGCATCAATTCTCGCTTTTGATTATTATGTTTATACTGTACTGAACGTTTTTGGTATTGATAAATTCAGCTAATTAAATGACCACTGACCAGCAAAAACTTGTTCGACGATTACATAGATTACATGCACATGTATGCAATCAAATTGAGTTTATGTGTACACATTTTTGTTGTTGTTGTTGCGGTGATGAAAAAATGCTACGGCCGCCGAACCGCACGAAGCCGGAAAGCCAACAGTTTTGGGGGTGTTAATTGATAAAATATATTTTTAATTACGCATTGATGTGATCACGTTGATATTAATAGCGATGAAATTAATGGTTGCGTGCATATAAAAAAAACGTTATTTGAATATAATTTCATAATCCGTATTATAAATGCATTTATATAGACCGGATAAAATGGCTATAAATATTGACTATATTTCACAAAAGCTTTGCTGAAAAAACGATTCAAATTATCCTTTTATTATTCAAACAATTTGAAGCTAACTTTAAAATATTTATATGGTTTTAGAGTTTAATTACGAGTATTTTCCCTTTTTTTGTTCCGACAATTGATTGAATATTATTTTTTCTCCAATAGAAATTAAATTAACTCATATTATTGTTTTTTTTTTTCAGATGCTACGACACAGCGTGCATTCGAAAATACAGGCTCTCACATAAAATGTGATGTTTCAACACGTTTACCCAACGATCAAGTGCTATTGGTCGTTTGGTATAAAAACAATCTTCCAATATACAGGTAAATTGAATTATTCACCGTTTTAAAGTAGCAAAAATGTGATTATGATAATGTAATCAATTATTATTTAGAGTTGTGAATTGAAGTTGATTGCTTAATGGATTCCATTGATTAATCATTTCAATTCAACGTAAATTGATCACTTTACTACGGACAATTTATATGTAATGTGAATGTAACCAATATTGGCTCAATCAAGTTGTAAAATAGACAGCACATCCATTAAAGCAATTCTTTTTTGTGTAATAATCAAATTTTGTATTGACGCAATGAAATGTAACATGTGATTTATCTTTTTAAAATGGATATGCAGTAAATTGAATTTATAATAATGTTTTGTAACAATATTTAAGCTATGATACACGCACATCGTCGGTGCCATCGCATTGGTCTGATCCAAATATAATGGGTAACCGAACAATTTTTCGAATTGCTCGACGAGAGCCAGCGGAATTAATAATAAAACAAGTTAAGGTAATTTCATCAATAACAACAAAAATCATATTGTTTCTTACACAGATAGAACATGAAATGGTATTTAAACCTGACCTAAGCTTGAAGCGATTTTCACACGAAACAGACATTCTTTACTCGTTGGAATTTACATAATGTGGATAAATGTTTCAGGTTGTTTGTAATAATATCTCTCTTGGTATTTGAATTCCATGGATGCGGTACACAAATAGATGAAAGAGACAGAGGATGAGGGGGGTAAATAAAAAGTGAAACGACAAGTGATGGGGCAGAAATAGTGGCCAAACTATGAAAGCAAATATAACGTATATAATGGCATTGTTTGGAATGCCACTATCTCCATCCTCCATAGTGAACATTTTATGCTCATATATTTTAATTTAAAGTGTGCCACTGTAAACAGTGTGAAGGTAAATGGAAGCAAAACTGGACTGTAATGTATGAACAACTATTTCAGTAATATGTAAGACTTTTTGGCCATCATCCAAAAATGCAGTTACTTTGTCCGCTTTTATCCACTATGTAAATGTGCACAACGAAAGGCGATGCCATCCTCCCGCTCTTGTTCCTTGATAAATCGCCCAATTTTTGTTTTTCTTTGTTGGTCGTATTTTTACTGCTTGTGCAGCTTTTGAATACAACATCGAATTTTCCATTATCCGAGAATGCATTTGTGTCATCATCATCGTAAAAAATTACTCATTCTTGCTCCACAATTCCAATATTACGAAATTTTACATTTACACTATTTTTATGGTTCGCATATTTTCATATAATGACCATGGTGAAACGTACACACACACACATCCCGACGACCCGCATCGTTTTCATCGCAAACGACAAAACATTATGGCCGTTTCACACAACGACATAAACTATAACTCTGTGTCATTTAGCCGAGAGAATGTAATAAGATGTGGCGTTGTAACGTAGTCGCCTAAGAAAGCAAGAACAAATGGGGAAATGGAACATAATAGGAGCGTGCACCGTTTTTGCCGTTGAAATAGTTAAAGTAAAAGTGTGAAAATTAATCTCTTCAATGTGTGGAACACTTTTAACCCCACATATATTTTAGTCTATGACACAAACACACAAACATAAATGATCCATTTTCAACGGATATTTTAAAATTAGCCGTAATAACAGATCATTATAAAAAAAACGGTTAATATGAGAAAAAATGATCATATTTTAATTTTGTGCACCCTCACACATATCTCTATCTCTCAGGAAATGTGTCGGCATAATTTTTAATAAATTTGCGTCGCAATGAGCGCACACACGAAAAAGATGAATTTCACTGAAGGTTTTATGAAAACGAAAAGCGACGTTGCAATTTTATGTACGAGTAATGAGTGTCAAACGCAAAAGTTTATGGGCTCGAAGGAAAAAAAAAAGCTTTTTACAAATATTGAATTTATGCTTAATGACATTGCCTTTGATTTCCGTCCACATGCACACTCTCAGCACTTCACAAGACATTTTATGTGCCTTTAATTGCTGTATGATCTCGTACCAAAAAAACGCAGCACGAGAGAGATTCGCTTTTATGAAAATTTACTTTTTCCACTTGAATTCGTAATAAGCAAAGAGAGATGTGTTTTAATGCATGGATGCATTTGTGAGAGTTTAAATTGTGATTTAATTCACAGCAAATGATATTTAAATAAAGAGCAAATGCGTGATTCAGTGTGCACATGGATAATAATAATGTTTGGAATATCTTGAAACACACACTTCAAATCTGACAAGCATGCTCGAGTATATATATTTTTTTCGCTCTTTTCGGACCGAAAAAAAAGTAGAATAAGTACAATTTCAAACAACTTCTCGCACCATTGAATCTTTGGCGAACAAAAAAAATGACGCATTTTCATCTGGGTATTATGACATCGTGTGCTTCATTCAATTCGTCTACTTGTGTTTACTTTGCGTTTGGCGTTTAGATTACATTTTCCATTCTTTCTCGCGTAATTCATCAACATTTCTGCTCGTCTTCAATTTCGTTTCGTGGCACATTTTCATATCAAAGCTCTCGGGAGCTGATTTTCATGTAGACATATCATTCTCATATCCATATAGATCTTATTTCTCTCAAAATGGAAATTCAATGTTGACTTCATGCCAAGAAATGTATATGTCTGTGTGTGTGTGCGAGAGAGAGATATAAAGAAAAAAAATCAGCTCTCAGCTTTATGGCATATGTATGTTTAAATTCCTAATAGACATGTTTTGTTTGATTCCAACCAAATCTCACATTTCTTTTATTAAACAGGCTGAAGACACGGGAGAATTTCGATGTAGAGTAGATTTTAAATTATCACCCACAAGGAACAGCGTTGTGAATTTAGAAGTTGTAGGTAAGTGTAACGTTTTTTTTCTCTTCAGGCATAGGCATATATTGCAGTGAGCAGGTGTTTTATGTGCAAATTCTTCTCGTAAATTATTTGATCGAATCAATTAAATTAACTAGGTGTTTTTGTTATACATCACAACCTAGAACGTTACCCTCTTTTGAATATTTGAATAAATAATTGAATAACGTATTTTTTTCCTTTTTTTGTTGTGAATTTTTTCAGTGCCACCACAAAAGCCAAAAATTATGAACGATCGTGGTGAGATAATTCAATCAATTGCTGGTCCCTATGATGAAGGAACCGACTGTATATTATTGTGTGAAGTGCGCGGTGGTTCACCGCCACCCACAATTAAATGGTTGTGGAATGGGAAGCAACTCGATAGTACGATGTTGGATTTTTCCTTTACAAATGCACAAACAAGTAAAATAGTCATCAAAAATTTGTCACGCATCCATCAGCGTTCGGTCATAACATGTCGAGCGAGCAATTTTCCAAAGACCGAAATAACAGCAAATATAACCATTGATTTGTTATGTAAGTGATTACGATTTTATATGGAAAACAAAAATTAGACTCGAATCAATATTTATTCGCTTAAAACTTTTGAAAACGAAAAAAAAATCATTTGCAAACGTAGATGACGTGTTTCGTTAATTTAATAATAATTTTGATATTGAGTACATAAATAAATTTTCTTTTAAAATCATGTTCTCTAATTGACTAAAAAGCAAGTGATTTTGTTCACTTTATAATATTAACCAAAATGAGAAAGCGTTCGTGTGTACGCTTTGTGTTCGTGTATGTGTTTTCATTTGAACAAACAGTATCTCATTTATTCTCTGGAATTAATTCTATTTTTTCGTTCATCAAATATGTTTCTGTTTTTCCCATTTGATTGTCCATTATTTTGCATATTATCTACGGGTAAATCACAAAACCAACTGTACAAAAAAAGAGTCATGGATTTATATATTTTTTTCTATTTCGTCGTTTTTATTATGCACAAGCATGATTGACCCCATTTTTAATACCAATAAATTTGTTTAGCTGAATTTTCATATGAATATTGTCACATATTTTCTGGAGCTAATTTGTGCTATGCCAAAATGTGTTGATCTAATTTTTTTCTGTGGTCTTTTGTACAAAATCATGCGATGTTCGAAATGTATGTTATGGACTGGATATTGGGATTTTGGTGATATTCCAGTTCAATACATTCGAGCGGAGAAAAGTAAATTTTCATCGGCATGGACGTGATGTGTGCGTTCAAAATATGGACACACAAAATGTGTGCATATTTATTAAACGTATTGTTATTCATATCACACATAACTAGCTCCCGAAAATACAAACGCACAACAAGCGCACGCTTTCGCCCTAATGAATCACTATTATTTATTATTAGCTTATCATAAATATCGTATTTTGAATTCGTTCATTAGTCATCACATTGAAACATGTGAATGAATGAAACATGCTTATTTTATATATATGTATTGTTGAATGTCCTTTGGCAACAAAACCATCCTCTGAAATGATAACATTTTTGGTTCATTGTTCCATCGAATTTTGTATTGTTCATTTCTAAGGATTAGTATTTATCTATGCATTCAATACCATTGTAATGTAATTGTTATACAGTATTAAAACGTTTATGAATATTATATCTAATTGTAGTGCGACCATTGACAGTGGATATTTTGTTAAATAACCAACCATTGTCAGCCGATCGAAAGTATGAAATAGAATGCCAAGCAATCGGTTCAAAACCATCGGCGAAAATTACTTGGTCGATGAATGGCATTCAATTGCGCAGCTACAGCGAAAAGGTATGTCAATCAAATGTTTTTTAAAGTCTGTCACATGTCAATTTATTTTTCGTACTCATCGGTGATGTGTGTGCACAATGCACATCCATAACAAAACAAGCAGCTACATTCAAACATAAAATACATTAATAATGATGAATGATTGCGTTGTAGTTTGATCTTCAATTCAATAAGGTTATTCAATTGCCGGCGTTTCGAATAAGCTTTCATTGAAAATCGCATTAAAAATGGCGGATTTCCGACATTGTGTTACAAATAAAACCATCAATTATTCCTAATGATACTTTTTATGTTCGATCGACCGGAATCAAGTAATGCGGAAATGTGTATGTATTAATGATAATTACTCGCTTCATCATATGAATCGCTTCTTTGTATGTTTGCGGTTTTTCTTCGCTCAGATCACGCATTTTGCTCAAAATTCGTACAATTATGAAATATGTGTGTAATTTCTGAAATTCATGAAATGTGTGTGTAATTTCTCCCACAAGTAATTAGCACATCCGTATACTTTGGCCAATTTTTCAAGTACATACATATATGATATGCTTTACATCATCTGATTGGCATCAACGTGAAACAGGAAGAGTAAAGGTACTTTACATTTTGGGCGTAATTGAAAATGTAAAAAATATCGATTTTCCCCATACATATGCATATCGATTTTCCCCATACATATGCATGATTTCCGTTGAGAATACGCGATGGTTTGAAAATATATAATTGAAGCTTGTCATTCGAAAAGATAGATACAGAGAAAAGAAGAAGCCTTTCAATTCAATCTTCAATAAATATATTCAGATTTTCTACATTGGTGACGATTTTCAAGCGTTTGCCTACCCTAAGAGCGGTGTTATCGAAAATCTTCCTGTTGTTAGACTTATGAATGTTGATGCACCGTGACGACGTAAAAATCCCCATAAAATATAGATTTTATGGAAACGAATCAATGTGAATCTGGCTTTTTCAAATAGAAAAAAAAATCTAATTGAATTTTTCTCATCAATTTTTTGTTCTCTTCTCCCCACAAACTTATGTACGAACTCTGTGTGTGCACCGAAGGCATCGGATAATGGAAATGTGAGCATATCGATATTAAGCTTCACACCAACACGTGAGGATAATGGCAAAGTGCTCATTTGCCGTGCCGTAAACGAAGTGATGAAACACAACATTAAAGAAACCACATTGAAACTCAATATTTATTGTAAGTATTCGTAATATTTACGATTGGTATTTATTTTTATTGGTCCAACTGGTAAATTACAAATATGAATGGAATTGGCATGGGTTGGTGTATATATCCGGTATGGAAATTACATGGCGGAAGAGAGAAAACCACCACATCGGTTATGCTTCATCTATATAGTATAGTTCATGTATTGTCGTTTGCTTGCTTGCAGTTGTGCCCATAATTCGGTTATCGCTTGGCTCAAATTTGAATCCCGATGATATCGAAGAAGGTAATTATTCCAAATCTATATTATATTTGTAGGAAATGCGCTCATAAAAACCGACGTGTTTCAATGTTTCGAATCAAATTGCACTGTGTGCAGCCGGTATTGTAGTACCGTTCGTCTCTTTTTTTATTGTATTCTTTGCCATTTTCGCTGAAACGTGTATAGTGCTATGTAATGTTGTTGAAAGCACAAACATTTTGTGGTAATTTGGCTAATATACATCGCACAAAATGCGTTTAGCGAAATACCAAAGAACGATAGCATGGAAACACAATAAAAACCTCCCGGTTTTATTGATTTTCCCATTTCCACTTCTGTGCCATTCGAATGCGAACATTCTATTTCTTATTTCTCTTCCGTGTTTGCTTACACAGGCGATGACGTCTACTGGGAATGCAAAGGTAAGGATGATGCCGCCTTTTTTTATGTTGATAATTTCGAACGAGTGAAACGCTTTCTTCGCGATTGTTTAAAACAAGTGGAATACGTTTTATTTTGACGATGGCATGCTTTTTACCATGTACCAACATGACCCAATTTAACTTGAACCAGAAACGAAAACAAAGTGAAAAAAAACATACGCTTTTGTTGAATGCAAAACTGACACTTAATGTGTTGGCTTATGTTATATAACAAAAGAAAATGAAATTTTGCCCATCGGTTAAAATGAACCAAGTGAAAAGTAGAAGCAGCAGCATCAACTGCTCATGCACAAAATTAAAACTATAGCATACACATTTTACGTTATGTGTTATTTGAGAATGCTTATTTTTTCTGGCCGACCGAGAAAAAAAACTACACTTAAGCAATGTTGGCATTTCTCGAGAAAAAAACTAAGCCAAAGACGAAAAAAAATCGTTTTTCATTTTCACTTTGACCATCCAATACGGTGATATATTTAATGAATTTTTTTTATTTTCTTCTGCATAAATATAGTTCATGCCAATCCTCCTGCATACAAAGTGGTGTGGAAACATAATGTAAGTTCATTTTCATAAAATCTCACATAAAATGTTGTAACGTACTTTTTCTTGTCGTTGGGACACGTGAAAAAGCACTTAATATCTTTAATGTTTGCAAAAATGTAGCAATTTTATCATAAACCGCTCGAAGAGCATATTTTTATTTTGTTTTCGTGCATTCGATTTTAAGAGATATGTAATTAGTGTAGGGGATCTGGATTCATGTTTAATTTTATGTAATTGTGACAGACGGTGATAGTCGACACAGCAAGAATGACAGCATTTCAAAGTGATTTTATAATGAGGAAATTTATAAAATTGACCTTGGAATGTCGCAATAAACATTTGAATTCAAGCACGCACTCTCCTACGCCGTACGCAGTAGCAACTGCTTCAACATGTTCATTTTATTATTATGGCATTACTCAAGCGTATTGTTGCTTGAAAGCAGATAACAATAATATTCCCTGTGACCCAACGCATGCAAATTACACACAACACATTTTGAAATCTCATGCCCATACATTCGTTACCATCATTTGGTATGTTAGTATTTATCTAATTAAATGCGATTGTGTGTAACATTCAAATTGTCGTTTTTGCGTGAGTGCGTCATGTGGCTTTGAACGGTGTCAGAAATCGGTTATCATTAAAATTGTTCTATAGCATATCGCGATATGGGATTTTCATTTAAAATTTACATTATTCACAATGTTTGAATGAAATGATTATTGAATTTTGCATTTGAAACATATTTTCAACATATTCACAATACGTCAAATGATATTGGAAGCCCTAAAAAAATCCATTTTCATGGCCGATGGAATTTCAAACATTTTACATTACATTCAAATGTGTACATATGCGTGGCACATGTATCAAAACAACTTTTATGTGACCGACCCATTCCACTACCACTAGGTGTCTAACATCTCTGTATAATATTTGTTTTATGTTATTCGCTGGATTATGTAAACACAAAATTGCGTATCACATATTTTGACGAGTGAAGCGAATTGAATAATTACAATATGTTTCAAATGTTGCAAATCGTGTTCATTGAGAATAGTTATGCTCGGCCTCAACTCGCAATGACTGTTTAGATGGAGTTAGCAAAAAAACATTATTTCCATGTTTGGGTGGATGAGTAGATAAAAAAACGGAAATGAAAATGTGTCGACGCAATGTCGCATCAACGCAATGCCCATCAACCAACCGGACTGATAATATTTTTCATATAAAAATAAACAACATCCTTAAAAGTGTAATCATTGTTGTACAGTGTACACCGGTATTGAACAAAACTCATTCACATCATGCTTTTCATTTATATTTTGTGTCGCGTGAACTCACAATATGATTTGTATTTTTCCAAGCTTTTCATTTTTGATTGAAGCCCCCAAACAACGACCGTCATTGAAGTCAGCATCATAAGTCGAAAAAAAAACACCACACACACACACACCAGCTAATTATGTTAGATGTTTTATGCGATTTGAATGCGAGAATGTGTGGTGTGCGAATGTGATGTGTTCCATTGTTCAGTTCCGTATGCGACATAATTTGTTGTCTATCTGGATGTAATCATGCGATGTTAAGTCATGCCATGATAACTGTTGTCAAATTATATATTTTCCAAGCCATTCCATCTATACAATGAGCATTTTTTTGTACTGCTTTTTCTCACTCTACATGCGTTTGTATGATGTGTATGTGTACAATATTCCATTCGTTATTAAAATGGGCAAAGTGACAGCAACCGTCCAAATATTATGTAGTGATACTATGTATGTGTGTTTTTTTATCTACAAAATTGTGAAGCGTGCATGCTCACAAAATAAAGCCAATGGCCAGTGGATTTCCACATATGCAGGCTTTTGTGTCTAGGTTTTACATAACAGAGAAAAAAACCATCATTTGGGTGACCCTTGCAATCTACTAAAAATGTTATTAAACATTTACACATTCTGTGCTTGTTCTCCTTGTCTCTCTTGCTTATGAATGTCCATTATACACATCGAAAGTCGCCCTCACTCATGGGCAATGGATCCAAACATTAAAAATCGTACGTGTGACCCATCATGACCGTGTTCTCTACCATATCGAAAATGGACTGTGGCTCGAAAATTAGTTACCATTTTAATTCCTTGTCATTGCATTAAGTAATTAGAATTGGAAAATTGCTTTTGGGATTTCACGTCAGGCCATCAATGATGATATTTTTTTGTTGTTGTTGTTATTGTTTGTCGCATCGAGACTGCATCATACCATACATATACTCCGGGTTAATTTTGCGTGTTCATGCTATTGTCATTTACAGGCCACGCTTACGTCGCAGCCAATCGAATTCAACCATATTTTATTGCAGTGTTCTCGGCGTTTGTTTTTTTTATATTTTCGTTTGTTTAGGTCTTGTTTTTATTCATTTTCACTGTTGGTTCGTTGAATAAAGCCTCATACATTCGACGTGTGATATCAAATTGAAGACATACCAGTTGGTCATTTGCACGTAGTCACATAATTGGTTGTATACAAAATCCATTTGCCGACAATAAATCGGATGACCACGAGAATAGACAACGATGGAATAAAAAAAAAAACAAAAATCATAAGCAGAGAAGCAGACAGAGAAAAACGGATTTTATAGAAATCTGTTAAGTGTTATGAACAGTGTTCATTGAATACGGAATAGCACAGAAGAAGTTTAACCCTTAACTGAGGCCCGGTAGCGCATTAAAAAAAAAAGATACATAAAATCACATAAAATATTATTTTAATCAAACAAATTTTTTGTAATATACTTTCATCCTTCTACTAATCGTTGATAAAAGTTGTTTTGAATTTGGTCCCCCAAGTAGCGCTGTATTGAGGTTTGAACAACTACCGGACGTATATTTTCCATACAAAATGTCATCAAATTTTTTAAAATGAAGTGCAAAATTTGTACTAAACAACTACTGAACTGAAACTTAAATTCACTCGATTCGGAATAAATATTGATTATTTTTTCATTTTTTCAGTTATATTTTACAAAAAACATATTTAATTCAATATCTTTTATGTTAAAACAATATATTTCATCGTATAAATTCAATGAAATTTGAAAAAAGAAAAAATAATTTTTTTTTCATTGAATTTGCATGGAAAATGTACGTTGGGCTTCAGAGGCCCCACTTGCCCGATAACGTTAGGATTTTGACTTCCCCGGTTAAGGGTTAATGAATGAAATGAATGCAAGTAGAATGAAGAACCAATAAATCGTTTGCGGCCGAATTCAATTCCATAATTAAATAATGAAAGTGGCCAAAGATTAACGAGGCAACGTTTCTTGGTTGTTTTGCCTAATGACGCCAGATCGTATCAGTTTATTTAAGGGGTTTTATGCGACGGCACAGCTATCATGGCGTGTGTTGTCGACCAATTCATTTATATGCTTTTTTTACTGTTCACTCTGTAGACATTTCGCTTGGCAAACGTTTAGTACTTTTTTAATGCTATTTTCCAATATCGATGTCTTACTAAAAAAATCGTTTTTCTCATCTTTCATTTGCCATCCATATAGAATCAAATCGTACAACACAATCCAAAGGTTGGTGTGATAGCAAGCAGCAGTGATTTGGCGTTACAGAGTGTGCAGGTTCATCAAGCTGGAAATTATTCGTGCATTGCCAGCAACGTTGAAGGGGATGGTGAAAGTAATACGCTTGAGCTGAATGTGATGTGTACGTAATTTTATATACCATAGAATACGATTGCAATAACAATGATAATACGAATTACGAAAAGCGAGAAGGTATGGATGAAGATCAGTGGAAGAGAAAAAGAAAAACAGTACAAGTGACAGAAAGTAGCCGACCGAATAAAGTGTACATAAAGAGAAAAAAACACAATTTCATCACATGATTAAGACATCCAGCATTCTTTCTGCACGTTGCAATTTATTCATCCATACCAATATGTACTTAGCACATTGATTGACTATATTCTCTCTTTCTCTCCTTTTCTCCCTTTCATTCTTTATTGCTTTTCATTTGTTTCGTGAAAAATGTTGCGTTTGACATTTGATTTGTGTATTCTTAGTTCGGCCACTGTGTCGAAATGATCAGAAGCGAATATACGGTGTGGCTCGCAATGAAATGGCACAAATTTTGTGTGAAGTAGACGCATATCCGGCACCAACATCCTTTAAATGGTCATTCAACAATACAGCGGAAACCATTGATATGCCGCAAAATGGATTTGAGAAGCATTCAAGAACCTCTTCACGTTTATCATATACACCCGTTAAGGTTTGTATGCATTTAATTAACTGTCAACGGCAATTTCGTTGCTCGCTTTTGCAACTATCTAACAAGAACATAGAAAATTAAGAGCGCGTGTATGAAACTAACTTAATTTAAAGTGACTCCAATGTGTGCTCGCATTTAGATGTGTTGCATGAAAAATGAGAATTAGCATAAATATTTTATACATTTATTATGGTGAATTGGTGATAGAGGACATCTTCCGTTCATAAAATCCATTCAATTTTGATAGAGAGTGTCATTTGTATGGTTCGCAGGCAATTAAATCATTCAGAAGCAATGCGCCTCACACATAACTGATTAGTAATTCATTTCGGAAAACATGGACGTCGATATGCGATGTATTTTAATGAATAAGATATTAGTTTCATTTGAAGTGGCACGTATTGTTCGTCTTTTGTGGCTCATTGATTTTGTGATATCTTCATGTTTGATTTGATTGGCTAATGTTGCCATCTATATAAATTCCATTCGAATTATTCTCAACAATGTTGTGTTCGTGTGTCCCGCTTGAGATAAGATGTGAAACTCATGATTAAACCAAATAATGTCAATAAATGTATCGAAACCAAGCGTAATTACAACTTAATAACATTTTAAATTTGTATTGTTGGCATCGGAAACCATATTTCAATGGTTGACGGATCAATCGACCCATCAATCAGTCATGCGAACTAATTTTCAAATGCTGACTGAATTAAATAGATGCATGCGCGCCATTGTTGTTTAACCGATGTAAGCAACAAATAATGTTGAACATCCTACTTCAATTTTAGATGTGTGGTATTTGTTACAATTCACAATGGATACATTGTGTGTTTTCTTTTAACTTCATTTCACAGTTGAATTTCCAATCCGAGCAATTGTAGGTTTTGTTTTTCGGCACGAGAAATGTAAGCTCAAATTAAATTGAGATTTATCTAGGACGTATGTCTCAGAGCAGGAGTATGATTACCCATCCAGAAAAAGTCTAAGAATTTTCAAAGAATTCTTTCACTTTGCTAGGGATTTTTGAGCTTTTTTCGTCATTTTTTTTTCGGAATGGAAGCACTAGATTGAATTGCATTTTTTGATGCCCTCCCCCTTAAATATCTACCTTGAGACGTATGTTATTTGAGAAAATAGTATACTTCCATAAATATATACGCATGGAATGTGTTCATTGGATTTTCAATTAGGAACTTACTCTATTGACTCAAATACATTTCAAATACTCATTGAAACTTGAAAACAGAAACGTAAAATCACACAATTCGGAAATGAGATCATTGAATTAAAATTTCTTAAATGAAAATTGTATTTCAGGAAATGGACTATGGAACATTGATGTGCTGGGCCGATAATGCTGTTGGCCAACAAAAAGAACCGTGTGTATTTCACATCATTGCTGCCGGAAAGCCGGATTCACCATACAATTGTACATTGGTGAATCAAACATCGGAGGGATTGGAAGTGGACTGCAATGAAGGTAAATACAAACATATTTGGTAAACAAAACCCGAAAATATAACTTTCTAAATCAATGTTGTTCATCGTAATTTGAATTGGAACTTCAAATATCGGATTTGCTATTATTTTTTCTTGACCAAAACAAAATATCCCATTTCAATCAATAATCGTGAAAGATACCTTCGATTCTATTTTCAACAGACGTGTGACTATGCTGGATATTTATACGCTACTGGAAATAAGCGGATGCACTTATCTCATATTGCCAGCAGCGAATATTTATCCAGCATAATCATACGTGTGATGTTTAAATTGAATAAACATTTTGATGTAATTCAAATTTGATGCCCTGTAACTGTTTGGCATTTTCATTTAGTTTGTACTAAATTTTGCCTTTCTTTTCAAAGAAAAATAAATACTTCCGATTAAGCAACGGTTTTGTTTGAAAAAAAAACAGGATTTGACGGTGGTCAGCGACAATGGTTCCGTATGGAAATTATCGATCAACAGACTGGCATTTTAATAGCGAATTTATCGTCATTTCAACCGGAATTTGACGTGAGAGGTTTAGATTCAGAACGTTTACTCAGAATATCCGTAATGGCAATAAATGCTCGCGGAGTTAGCGACAGTGTCATTCTCGAGGCGCAAACATTGAAAGCTGCCGAAAAACGAATGGGTAAGTGTTGATTTAATTTCATTATTTTTTCATTGTTAATATTTGATTTGTACGTGTCATTAAGGCAAAATGTGGCCCTCCGATTGATTTGATGTCAATTCGTATCAATGGGACTGGATTCAATTTAAGTGTTATCGGGTCATCAGTTCAATCGCAGACTGTTAGCTTTATAATATAATTATAGGTTCCTTTGTTGAGCCTTGTTCACTGACTGATTCATTTTTCTTTGCGCGTCATTCATTTATAATCACTGACCCAAATTTGATATCAAGTCAAATGTTGCCAAAAAAAAGAAATACAAAATTGCCTATCCGTTGTTATTGTTTAAATAATTTAAGAAAATACCCAAGCGAATAAAAAAAAGAAGAGCAAAAAAAAAAACATTGTTGACAGAACATTCACTGAACATGGTGAAAGCGATCGAATCCCATGAGAACCTTAAATTTCGAATTTATTTCGTTTATTCAGTGCTACATTATACCCAAGTGTCATGCGACAATAAGATTTATTCAACATTTTCTCTCGAATAGAAAATAAGCTCTTTTCCATTCATTGATTTATTAATCTTGTTTTCTCCGTCATGCGTTTCTCTGTGTGTCTTTTCTCTCCTTTTTTGCTGCTCGTCTATTACATCGGTGCCGCTTCATCTTTGCTGCAAAACACTAACGATGTTACATTGTTCGTGATCATATCTACGTTGAATCACCAATCGCGCATTTGTAGGCCCCAACGCTCAGTTTGAACTAACGCCGGTTCTATCGATTGGCATATTTATCGGTGTATTAACAGCACTTGTGTGCATTGCTTTTGGTACGGCTCTCGCATTAAAGCTTCGTACCACCGAACAGTTACGACGACGCCGGCTACATCAACCAAACGATTCACAATTTGATAAACCGTTTTCAACACGTCCGGGAAATTTACCAATTAAAGATAAAATTTCATTACCGCTTGGTGTTGGTGATTTAGATGATGTTTACGATGATAAAAATCCAGATGTCGTTCCATATAATGAAGGTAAGCATTTTTTTGCACGTACTACACTATACATACATTTTTGTTTTTATTTCGACGGTTAACCTTTTTCCCAAAAATAGATAGCAATGGTGTATTTTCCCACTTCTCTCACATTTGTCTTGCTGGAATCCATTTTCTTTACCCTTTTGCTGGATTTTTAGCACGGAGTTTTATTTGAAATGATTTTAATTTTGTACTCGAATTGCAATTTCTGGTAGGGCAAATTGTTTGAATTAAAACTTTGGGATCGAATTTAAGGCTGAGATTGAAGATTAAAAACGTTAAAATATATATGTTACAAACATATGGTTTTTGAAACCGAATATGGTGTAATTATTACATTTATGAAGATAGCTTTCGCAATGTACCATTGACGTAACTTGGAATTCGTGGGACGTGTTCGATGCGACAATTGCTCACAAAATTGTAATGACTTTTATTGAGTCGATTGTTTGCCATCGAAACAATATACTTTGAATTTCGTTGTCTCTCTTTCTCGCCATCTGTGTGTCTCTCTCTCTCGTTCTCTCAATTTAATTGATTTCTCTCGTTGAACACGTACCGGATGTGCAATTAAACATTTTTGCGCGGTCACACAATTTACACAAAATGTGACACTGTGTACTACTACATTGAATGCCATTAAATGGCAAGTGATTCCTACATTTTCAATCATACGTACGGCAGTCATTTTTCGTTTATGATCGTGACAAAGTTAATTACACTATCCATTACAAAGTATATTCGATGCTTTCTTTTGTAATTCGTTTGTTAGCGTTATTGATTCGTAATTTAGTCTGCGCATATCGTATAGTTTACAATGGCGTCTTTGGCCAAAGTGGTTGAGTGTGTAAATTTAACATTTTCCACTAAAACAGGATATTCGTGTTATAATATGATATTTAATATAAAATTCGTATTCATACGGTATTATCAGGCCAATAAATAGCATTAATAAGCCATTTCCTTCTAGCTGGAAATGCATATCGATTGTTGAAATGTGATTACTCCAATTCAGCATGTTCGCACACGCCAATGGCATTCGAAAGTGTGGAAAAGCAAAGCGTATTTTTTTTTCATCGTATTTACTCCAACAGCGATCATATTTCATTTAAAACTACGTTGAATGCCCTACAGTAATATCGCACACCATCGTTGAACACCCATATCCCGTCAATTTATCCAACTCCCGTTCCATCTTAAAGTCATATTCTATCTTTCATTCTCTTTATTCAGCATACAGTTTATACTTTATCATAGTCTCATGTATCCATTCTTCGCATACAGATCTTGACTGTAAATTAAAATCAGCCGTACAGACTCCAGCTGCAATGCACAATAATTTGCACAACAATGTGCCGGAAATTCTCGGACGGAGTAACGTTAACAGCTCTCAAATGTACTATAAAACTGTAAGTACTCATTTCGCGAGTTGCATTATAATTTTAATATTTAAAATCGTTTCACAATCACGGTTTGCCTTGTTTCTCGTTGCACGCGCGTACACATGAATACATATACACACACACACATAAACAAGCACACCCAGATCGATGGTGAAGGCTAAACACACACACACTCCATTTCGTACAAACACACGTATTTCCTAGTTTATTCTGTGTGTGCACGTTTTACTGCTTGTTTTTAAGAAAAGAACAAGAGAAAAGAAATGGCGATAAGAATCAGTGAAAGGTTTTCCGCACAGCCATGTAGATATATACAGTTAGTCGAACCCCGTGTACAAAAAAAGTGACTGACTATTTTGGGACAAACTGACTGACTATTGACTGTAAAAACAAGCAACCTTAGTTAAATTTAGTTAACTTCAATCAATTAATGTAAGCTATGGTTAACTGCAACAGCTAACTATATTTGACAATAATCATAGTCACCCGATAGTCAAAACGTCCCAAAATAATCGCCTGACTGACTGAGTAACTATAGTCGATTGTTTTCCATACAAAATTTTAAAATTCATGAATATAGCTAACTATAGTCACTTACAGTCAATAGTAACTTAGTCACTTTTTTTCCACTCGGGATGGTTTGTGTGTAGGAAGAAGGTTTTTCTCATCGGTCAACCTATGCGCTGACAATTTACAGTCAGTAAACGAGTATACGAATGGTTTTAGGCCATAAGCCACAGACAAACTAGTTCACAGCTCTTTTTTTTCACAGCATTCACTAGCAGTAGAGAGTGAGTGTCTATGTGTGTGTTTGTATGGTATTCAGGTTGGCAGCAGCTTTGAATTTCACAATTAAACATTCACTATGTAAAATATTTCATGTAAAATGTTCAATATTCATTATTATTTAATGTAAAATTCCTTAAACGAAAGAGAATTCATGCAATAATTTCAAGAATTATAAATATAATTTCATTAAAAATTTATCCATATTTTTTTTTGTAAATTTTCTTCGTTGGGTATGACAGCAAGCTCCATCTCAATCTCAAGTGAATCAATCGGGTGCCGTCGATGAATTGCATTATGCTGAGTTGGCTATATCGCGAAATAGTGCGACAGGAAGTGGCATCTCATTGAGTAAGCAAACAGCATCATCAGCACCCCCACCACCACCACTACCATCATCGTCAACAGGGAATTATGACATTAAGTACACAGATACAAAAAATACATTGCCAAATAAGCCGCCGGCATACGATTACTTTAAGGAACCAACCGTATATGCTCAAATCGATCATTTTAAAACGATGCAACACAAATCACATGCACCGTCATCATCGTCGATGATGATAAACAGTGCATCAGCATCGAATGCATACCAATTGCATCATCAAAATGCGACACAAACACATCAAAGTAATCAATATTACCAGCAACAAGCTCAACCTCATCCGCAATTACAGTATGGCAGCGATTGTAGTTACAGTATGCGCAACAATAGCAACAATAGCATGGGAAGTGGCAGCGGTGCAGCATTAAATAATAGCGCTAGCAATGGAACGCTTAGCAATAGTAATACATTAACATTTTCAAATCAATCGATTCAATCGCCATCGTCATCGTCGACCGTTTACTATTCGGGCAATCAAGCACAGGCGTCACAACAATCTCAACATGCGCTCACCACCAATACGTCAAAACAATATTCACGGGAAATTGTCACCATACGAACACCATTACTTTGTTCACAACAAGAAAGTTGTGTTTAAATGTTCATTATTTAAAAAAAAAAGATAAGTTTGCGTGCAAGCAAATGAAACGGAAGTCAAAAACTGTCACACACAATTAGAAATATTTACGTAAGTAAATCGTATATCATCACAATAAGAAAGAATGAAATAAACACACACACACACATTGAAGTTTTCGATAACTACCATAAAATTAGTCGACTAATTTCTACAATCAATTTACTATATCGATAATCAATGTTTACTATAACGTTATTCAATTCACCAAAATGAATCATAGACAACACACATAGGAGATGAAAAATTAAATACACACTCAACGTTACATTTAAAGAGAGATAATACACACACACACACACACACACACACACACACAAAATTAAATGTAAAAAAAGATGGAAAATATATAAGAAATAACATGTTTCATTCCATTCAATGTCATCCAACATTTTAATCATAGCAATTTTTTAAACGAGAAATCATAATGTTTTTTTTCCCGAGAAGAATGAAGCTCATGGGAGCAAAGAGTGAGATAACTTTAAACATAAAAAAATAAATAGATGTTACGATTGAAAAGCGTAAATCCTTTCTTTCTCCAAATGAATGTGATGCGACATTGAGATACATGAAGTGTTTTATTGTGTGGTTTGGATAAGATAGTATCTTATTTGGTTTTTGATATCTATGTATTTTTTTGCATCTATGTATATCTTTGTCAATTTACACAGCGCTGATGTCACAAGCTGACTCTGAATGCAGGTAGCTGACTCCTTGGCAACCTAATATCGACCCATCAAGTGATTTTGTATTGAAGCAGTTTGAGGGTGTTAAACTTTGTGTCTGATGAGACGATGTTAAGTTGCTATGGATGCATCAACTGCTGACATCACGGCTGAGCCAAACTTCAATCACTGTCGGCATTCATTGATGGAGAAAAGTACTGAAAATTGGCGAAACAAATTAAAAAAAATGTTTTGTTGTGCAAACTGTATACGATGGCGAGAGCGATAAAAATAGAAAGAAAGACGTCAATTGTGCAATTAATTGAATTTTAAACGAAAAACGTATCATATCTGTTCAAAATAGTTGCATTTGTTTTATTTAGTTAATAAAGGAGGGGGGGGGGGGTAAAATCTATTTTCTGAGCAAAGAATTTCAATAAATATTTTTTATTTCGTAAGTCATTTTGCGGTGGTTAACATTATAGAGATTTTTCGAAGATCTTTAATGCACTGTTTTTTCATCCAAAATATATGTTTTGATCGAAATGATCAATAAATTTGCAAACAGACATCAATTCATCACTCATTAGTTAGTCAATTTTATGAAAATTTTCCTACTCTCTCTGTCCAAAATAAATTATAAAAATATACAAAATCGACTATCTCGTAGACATGTGTATCAACAACAGAAACCAAAAAAAAAGATGCAACAACAACTCATTTGTACATAAAATGCAATTAAACATTAACAAAATAATGATAATAAATGTAAGTAAACACAAAACATCAATTGAGAAAAAATCACACCGACAATGACACAATGGTATAATGTGGAAGACATTTCAATATTTATTCAATAAGCGTACCAAATTGTAAATTTATGTGGAAAAGTAAACGAACAGCAACCAAAAAAACAAACACAATGCCATTTGAAATGGATTGAACTGCATGCAGTCGAATGATATATATACAAATTTGATTATTATTGTCGTTATTATTTTTGTTAATCAAAAGAATCAATTTTACTATTGAATGTATAAAACCGAATAAAAACAAACACACCGAAATCTTGAAATAAATTTCAATTCAAATGAAACAAAATACAAAAGTCTCTCTCTCTCTCTCTCTCTCTCTATTTTCAAGTAATGTTTCTTTAGTATTACAGATGTTTTCCGAAAAATAAATAAAGGGGTGACTTCTGAAACACGAAAAACCATTCAGACATTTCGAAGGTATGCTCAAAAAAAGTGCTGGTATTTTTGAAGAAATGTGTATGGTAAGTGTTGAAGGTAGTTATCTAATTGAAAATTTTTAAAATCAATTTAGTCTTATAACGTTTAATTTTCATTGCCATTGTCATGTTTTGTGTTCATTTTCTAAACAATTTCTAGCAGCTTTCAAAGGGTTTATTTTGTTTATGTTCTGAATCATTTATCTATATTTCCGTGCCGTAATAATCGATGGTTAAATACATCGTACACCAAAAGTAAATTTTTAATAAATGCACCAAATATAAACGGAGAAATCGTCTGTCATTCAAACTTTTTAATGAAATAGCTAAAGAAACGGAGAAAAAAAAGCACGCAGACATTGAGCGTGTTATAAAAAGTGTGGCACCGTTAATACCTAGGTGAATTATTAGTGCAATCGGTCGTTATTCTCTTCCAGTTCAACGAGTTCGTGGGCGAGCATGCTCCGCTTCTCTATCCAATAAATTTTATCCTTTGCTATTTCTTTTTGACACATTGTTTTTTTTTCTTCTTCTTCTTCTACACGTTCCCTGTGCTTAGCATGCTTTAATGAAATTCCTGCGCTCGGCTCTTTTTTGCGTTTTGTTCGTCTGTATTTTTTCCCTTAATTTGCATTGATTGATTCGAGCTTTAAAAAAGTCACCAATTTTTTTCCAATAAATTTCAGTGCGTTCTTTCTATCTGCCGCACGAATGATTTGAAAATGATGGTAGATTTTCTGTAAAAATCAACTATGTGCTATCGCTTAATTCAGCAACCATTGATACAATATTTTTTTCCCGAATGGAAAATACTTTTTTTACTTGACACTTACATTGATTTCGATATAATCAAGCAATTTTTATGTTTGCTAAATTCTCTTTACGAATAAAAACTAAAGCGAAAACGAATCGAGTTGATGTTTTTTTCTTGCGATCTTGATTTTTCTTACAGACAAGTTGAACCTTACAACATTTTTTGCAATCAAATTTATATTTTACTTTGTTCAAATAAGTTTTGTGTTTTTTTTCTCTCAAATGCCATCGACCATTTTGTTGTAAAAAGTTTTAATTACATACTTTGATAAACTATTCAGATGCAAGAGTTCACCACCGTTGCATTTCCAAATACTATCAACTTTATGCTTTACTCTCGCTCTCTCACACACACAAACTTACTCTCTTTCATGCAATTTTTGAGCGGTGCCTTAAGCAAAGAGTTAACTTTTAGCTTTAGCTTTCGTACGGTGGTTGGTGTATTGATGCGTAAATCTTTTGTATTTCGTTCGTTCACTAATTATGCGCGCACAAAATATTAAAAGAGATTTTCTATAACATTTGATTGTTTTAAGAGGATCTTTACTTTATGCATGACGAATGTTGAAAGAACGAAATTCTTGGAATTAAGTTTGAATTCCATTTTTCCATCTTCAAACAGATTGTAATGGTTTTCAAATGAACGTATCTTCAATGGATCTGATCATATTTTGAGAAATTATTCGTTCAGTTGCCGAGGCAATTGACAGTCCATATGGGCCAGTTCTTACGATTTTCTTAGAATTCCTTTAAATTAGGTAGACTGTTCTGATATCCTAAAAGTTAAAACAAGCATTCATCCTACATTGAAATTTGATTTGTTTTAATTGGCATTTTTGATTCTGAGCTTCTTGTTTATTGTTTGAGCTTTTCTTAACTAAAATAAGCCGAAGAATTGCATCGACAAAAAATCATTTCAAAAAAAATTGTTCATTCGCTTTTATAATGATGGTTAAAGTTCCAATTGGAACAATGAATCATTTGCATTTGTAGCTCAAATCAAGTGTCTGATTTGAATATGACTGTGTTTGAATTTGTCAATGATTACCGTCAGGTCACCGACAAAAGCGATATAACCTTTGACTAAAAGTAGTCAAACCCACGCAAAAAATGATTTGTGGGCAAAAAATTTTGTTTTTGTTTGTTCGTTTGGAATTTGTGAGGTGATTGACTTCGAATGAATTGCATTATCATATTTAGCGTTTGAGAAGCGCGTGAAGATAATTCAACTCGTTATCGTTGTTAAAGGGAATGCAATTCGAAAATAGAGACGATGATATGCAAACATCGAGAGTAAAATTAAATAAGATCCAAAGTACAACGTAATGGAAGATCTGAAAATATAATGATGTCAACCGCATGATTAAATTATGGTGATCAGAAAAAACGCGTTTGTTTGCATATGAAAGTATCAACTGACTGAGACGGTAATCGAAAACCATGCCGGGTGGTTTAAATGAATTTGATTATGGCATCAAACGCATGCGATACTCATATAGAAATATGCACATCAACAACAAAAAATTGTTCCGTTGAAAAAATCAGTTCAGTTGAATGTAAGTCGCGGTGCATACATTCTGATCAACATGTCTGAAACTTAAAGTGTACTTACACAAGAAATGACGATACATTTTGCGTGAAATCAAGCAAAGAGAAAAAAATAAACAAAAAAACGAGTGTACTCGTATATGTTACATATTAAATTTTGTTGATAGCACATAGACAAAGCGAGAGAGAGAGAGAGAGAGAGAGAGAGAGAGAGGTAGGAGGAGGAGGGGGGGACAAAAAGGGAGCAAAAACCAGGCAAACACAGACACATTCCCATGCATCAGTAAAGTGCTATATGAACAACGTGACCATTCAAACGAACTAATTTTTTCTTCTACTCGGATGGTTCATTCGTCTGCTGCTAACAGGGAATCCATTGATTTGATAAATATTTGATAATCTCATTTCTCGAAATTTCTCATTCATTCGTTCGGTTTATTTTGGCGACTGTACTCTGTTATGATTGTTATATATATTCTCTGGGGTTGTTTTTTTTGTTGCCAGCCAACAGCCATCATAGTCATATCGTTGAATTTTAACATTCATTTATTGTTCACGGCGCAGTTTTCGTTATGGCTCTTTCGCCAGTTTTTTTTTTTAAATAATCATGTGTGCGTTTTTTAGCAAACATAAATTTCCATACTGCGCATTTTTCCCCATCTTTTTGCCATTATCTTTGTTTACCAACATATAAATTCATTCTTTTAAAAAATAATGCATGGGGTTTGATCACGTTCAATAAATATTAATTTTATTTGTCTAAACAAAAACAACGAAATCGCCCTTCTTTAAAAAAAATGATGACACGAAATGACATGATTTCCTAATACCAGCCACAAATCGAACATGACAATAAATATAGAAATAAGGTTGAACTGATTCACTCGATGATTCAATATTCTTGTTGAAGGTTTAAAAGACATACACAGTACGGCTATCATCTCATTGGAGGTGGACAAGGCGCTACGTGGAAAACAGTAACGCCACCTAGGGAGGTGTCTACTCTAGTATATTTTTCACGTGCTAAAAGTATGAAAATGTGTCTAGTCGGAAGTATACAAACTTGCTTTCAACCGTCACTGACGTTTCTTACTCTTAACGATGAAGCCATATGTACATAAGTGCATTTCTAATGTGACATCCATGTCTTTTGTTCTGAAACCAAAAACAGGTTCAACATTCACTGAGCAGTTTCGATTGAATATATGAGCGGTTGACTGAGTTTGACTGAAAACAATGGTCATTATGTCAACACTACAATCAACATTCAATTCAAAGGTCCGAACATTACTTATGCATTGCATACAACCAAAGTAACACAATTGTTAGCAATTATACCTCTTGTTATTCAAAACTGATTAAAGGAAACTCTTTTGGTTTCAGTGAATATTGAAGTGAACAAGCAGACACAATAACGTACAACTTTTGTGGTTTTCATGCATTAAATATTTGAAATACATGTTTCTACAAAATTGAAGTTTCTGTGTGTTGATATTATTGGGTGTACAGTCAATGGAATTCAAGAAAATGCCTTTTTAATTTTTAAAAAACCGACGTTTCGATCACATTTATAATATCGATTTATTCGATCTTCCTCAGGGTCTTTAAATCAATACATAAAGAGATAGGTTATGCACATTACAAATAAAAACAAAATTAAACCATGTATCCAATTAAATTAATCATACCAAAAATCACAACATTTCCTATCGTCAACAAAATCCGAATATTGTGTCATTATCAACAAATTTCTCATGAAATAAGTGAAAAAACAAAGTCAATTGATAAATAAAATTAGATAACATTACATCACCTACAGAAACTATTCTTAGCAAAATCGTGCAGTCAAAAACTTAACAAAGCATACAGCCTTCATGACAGTAAAGAAAAATGAGATGATTGCAACTGGAATGAATGGAACAAATGGAAATTAGAACTATTAACGTATGGAAATGTTACAATGGAATTATGACAAAAAACCGCAATGGAATCCCATGAAATTGAAAGCAATAACAAAATCGAATAGAAAAATATTAAAATAAGATCTTATATACATCACTAATATTCTTAGATTCGATGCTCCTCTTATTAACGCATGATCGGTCCATTTTAATGTGTACTTCTTCGAGCAACATTCTCTTCTCCCAGTTATTTTCTCTTTCAAGTACGGCCACATCACCAAAATTAAACGTATATCCGTATGTGATAGAATGATATGCCAGAGCACTTTTTTCTATTCTCAATTGGTCAACGTCCCTCTTATGCTGTTTCATTCTCTCCGATACAAACTGTGATGTGGTTCCTTTGTATGGTCTATCACAATCATTGCATTTGACTTGGTAAACAACATCGCTTTCGTATTCTAATGGAACTCTGTTTTTTAATCTTGAAAAAAGGTTGCCAACTTTATTGTTGTTTTTGTAAGTAAATGTTATGTTGTCAATGATTGAGGTGAATGCTCTAGCC